TCAAAGGGATTTGGCTATGCCTGCAGAGGTGAAAGGGGTAAGTGTTGATTTAGTATTTGTTTTCTCTTCTCTACCCTCCCTATTTTCTCTCCAATGCTTTCCCTACAGGAGCCCCAGCCACAGCCGGGCTGTATTCTGTATGCTATGCTTGTCTCATGAAGGGGAAAGCATTATTTTCTCCCTCAGATCAGTGTGTTGCAGTCTCACACACCTCGTGTGTGCTCAGGGACATGTTGTTAACACCTCTGTTCAGTGTGTATACTGCAGGCCATATGGAGAGGCTGTTAATCATGGTAACATTATGAGAGGAGGCTGAGTGATAACCACCCACAGGGGAATGTGCTGCTGCTGCTTCATACGCTTTTACACCCAGCACACCGCCAGCCAGCCTGCCAACCACCCAGCAAACTGCCAGCCCAACCTGGTCTCAGAGCATTTCGCATTATTCTGTACGTAAATTCGAGACACTCCATTTAATATGATATGTTACTTTTCGTATGGTATGTATTAATTTGTGGATGTCCATCAACCATTTCGGATGATATGTTGCGAATTACAATTCGTATTATATGTTACGAATTTGTGAAACGTACAATATGTTATGCATTTGTAAAATGTACAATATGTTATGAATTTGCAAAACGTATTATATGTTATGAATTTTAGCTAGCTTGCTAACGTTAGCTAGGCTAGGGGTTAGGGTTAGGGGTTATGGTTAAGGTTAGGGTTAAATTTAGGAGTTAGGTTAAGGGGTTAAGGTTAGGGTTAGGGGAAGGGTAAGCTAAAAGTATTAAGGTTTTGGTTAGGGTTAGCTAACATGCTAAGTAGTTGGAAAGTAGCTAAAAAGTAGTAAGTAGTTGAAATGTTGCTAAAATGCTAAAGTTGTCCATGATGAGATTTTAACTCGCAACCTAAGATTTTAACTCGCAACCTTTAGGTTGCTAGACGTTTGCATTATACACCCACCCATCCACCCCGGGTTGCTAGATGGTCGGGTTATATGCCTACCCATCCACCCCGACCAACCACCACCCTACTTAAGTAAAGGTCCAATGCAGCCGTTTTAATCTGTCTTATGTAACCATACCAAACGTAACAGTGTCTTGGATTTACATACAGAATAATACAAAATGCTCTGAGACCAGGTTGGCCAGCCAGCCAGCCACTGCAAGTTAGAATGACATTAAATATGACCATGCAGTATTTCATTGTTTGTGCACAATGGGGCTTCCTGCCTCCTGCCTCCTGCTTCCTGTATCCTGCACAGACCAACACAAGGGATGAGAGGTGTCCTGTCCTCATTCTCAATGGAAATTAGTCTTGGCACTGCGGTGAATAAGATGGTATATCCTCATGGCGGCAGATCACCTAGCGGTTAAGTGTGTTGGGCTAGTAACCAAAAGATTGCTGGTTAGAATCTCAGAAAATCTGTCGTTATGCCCTTGAGCAAGGCACTTAACCCTAATTCCTCTGGATAAGAGCATTTGATAAATGACTTAAATGTAAGCATGCTGTAATGCCTATAGCTGCAGTGCTGGGAGATTGGACAATGCTGTGTTTGTGTAATGTGGACAGAGAATGTTTTCCTCCCACATCTTGGCTGCGTTACAGAACAAAAACAAGTAATCTTGTTGATCTGATCCCATCTAATTATGAACCCTGGGAGTGGATCTATTACGACAGATTATTACTGTATTTACAGAAATGTTGTGCACACGTTCATTTGACATCAAGTACTAGAGCGATACACATTTCTCTCTCCTCTATCTGATGAACACAAATTGACTGCATTGTCAGTGTTAATTCCAACAGATCACAGCTTCTCCTCTGATCTGCATTAATACCGGGATAGAGGGCAGGCATTTTCTCCCTTGCCTGCATGATTCATCTATCAAAATGAGCTTGTGACAAGTATTAAATGTGGCTTGCGTCTGAAATGCCCTTGACCCGGCCACTAAATCTGAACTCACCCAGTAGAAGATCAGACTGTGGGCTTTCCGCTATACTGTCGTGCAGTCAGCCCCCATTGGACAGCTGAATGGAACAAGACACTAATCGTGTCACTTTGTCCTCTGCTTCAGTGCCTCTAACATCTATCTAATTCATCTCGTAGGTAAACAGCAAATACAGGCTGTAAATTAAGGAATATGAGGATATTTGACCAGTGGCCTCCCGAGTGGCGCACTGGTCTAAGGCACTGCATTGCAGTGCTAGCTGTGCCACTAGAGATCCTGGTTCGAATCCAGGCTCTGTCGTAGCCGGCCGCGACCGGGAGACCCATGGGGCGGCGCACAATTGGCCCAGCGTCGTCCAGGGTAGGGGAGGGAATGGCTGGCAGGGATGTAGCTCAGTTGGTAGAGCATGGTGTTTGTAACGCCAGGGTTGTGGGTTCGATTCCCACGGGGGGTATGAAAAAAATAAAAAATAAAATAAAAATAATAATGTATGCACTCACTACCTGTAAGTTGCTCTGGATAAGAGCGTCTGCTAAATGACTAAAAAGTAAAAAAGTAAAAAGTATATTTATGTGATGGAGGAACAGTTATGAGGGTAGTTGAAACAGTGTTCTAGGGATGAATGAGTGCTTTGAGTGTTTGATGATAAGTGGTGGCTGTACAAATGGAGGCATGGCTGCACAGTGTCGGAAAGATCTGTTGGAAGACTAATCTAAAAACAGGGCCAGAAGTCCCTAACCTCACTATCCATCCCTCTATCCCTCTTTCAAACCCTATTACCATTGCTCAATCCCGCTATCAAGCATTCCTTTAGAGAACAGAGATACCCTGCCTATTTCTAGCCACCCAGCTATTCGTTTACCTCTGCTTTGCAATACCTCCAATCATTCATCCCTCCAAGGCTGTTTAAGCCTGCATCATCTCCTTTCCTTTCCTCTCTCTCTCTCTCTCTCTCTCTCTCTCTCTCTCTCTCTCTCTCTCTCTCTCTCTCTCTCTCTCTCTCTCTCTGTCTTTCTCTCTCTCTCGCTCTATCTGCTGTGTGTCATCCATGGGGCTTTCATCTCTCCTTCTCTCTCTCTACTCTGACAGACTTATTTGCATGAAGATGAGGGCTCTCATGTTTGACATTGTATGTTTGGGAAATGGAGGCTGCGAGTGAATCGAGCTCTCCCATTGCATTAATTAGTTATCCATTATTATTATTATTATTATACCTCCTGCTCCACATTCTGTGGACTATTTTACATTAAGGCCCCTACTATTAAACCTCTGGATTTTATGTGGACTATTTTACATATTGCTCAATGAACTTGGAATACTGCTGAATTCAGTTCTAGTATGTTTCAGTAAGACAAGCAACCTGGGATTCTAATTTGTTTCTGCACAGTAGGATTGAGAGCACTTTCATTTAGTATGGTGAGATATGATGCAGGGAATTTTATGTTGACAGATTATCCGCTGGCTTGCAAGAGATATTGGCACATAAATCAAAATTCTCCCTCATGGTGAATGCGGTTCTAATCATGATCCTATTGACTAAAATCTCAGATTCAGACACTCTTGGGCTTTAGTATGTGATCAAAACAGAATCGTCCTTGACTAAAGAGTATTATGCAAAAACATGTCAACATTTATTATGGGTCATTTTGTTCATATTTTATGCCTCTTTAGTCTATTTATAGACCCATTTTAAGTTGTTTATGTTGTATATTTAATAGATCCTTGTTTTGGGGAAAACAACAAACCCACTGGGCACAGATGTCAATTCCACATCTATTCCATGTTGGTTCAACGTTATTTAGTTGAAATGACGTGGAAACAACGCTGATTAAACTACTGTGTTAGTTTGTTCTTGATGTAAATAAGCATAAATCACTAAATGACCCTGTATGTCTGGGGCTAGCTGCTGGATGGAGAGAGTTGATTAAAGGCAGGACATTGTTATATCTCAGTAATTATGCCAAACCATTTCTCCTCATTCATCTTTTAACACATCAACTCTATCAGCATCTGAACCTCCACAATTACTACCCGGGCCGCCCTGGGCACAAGCGACATAGGTGTTTGCCCAGGGCCCCCGGCTGCTAGGGGGCCCCCTACCAGTTTAGGAACTCAGTCGGGGAATCAACTTACTGTTGAGCGTTAGAATAGTAGAATACACAATGTGCAATAAAAAAAATGGTTGTGCATCAGCAGTTCCTCTTGTTATGTCAGTCACTGACATTCACTCAATTAGCTCATGTCAGCTTTTATTTTTTTGGATTGGTATGTCAGTCTACCCAACTATCTAAACTTGTAGTAATCATGGCGGAATTACCGACCGGGCATGAAGGGCATATGCCCAGGGGCCCTGACCTCCAGGGGACCCCATTGATTTTCTTAGTCACTCTCACTCAGATATCATATTAACATGGCATAAGTCATGGCAAAATGTGTAGAATTGCAGGAAATTAACTTTAAAACGTACATTTTTCTCTCCGCCGTCAATAGGGGGTCCACTAAAATGTTTTGCCCGCAAGGTGGTGGCTAGTGCCGACCCTGATTACTACAGCCTTCTCTACTCTTTTCCATTCCCCACACATGGCCACACATCAATGTGGAAGTTCTGAATAGCTTAATGGCCTTGCTCTATAGTCTATACAGTGAGGTGGGTGTTTGAAAGCCAGGGCTTAAAAATGAACAATTGCGAGCACTCAGCAGGGGAAGTGAAAGGTCAGCAGAATGGCAGCAGCAGATTGGTCCACGGGGTGAGAGGGTCTCAGGAGAAATCAAACCAACGCGCTTTAATTAAACAGGTGGAGCTCGTTCTCATATTTAGATAATACCCTCTCCTGCTCTCTCCGGGCCTGTCACCTTTAGTTCATGTCTTTATTTCTCCCTCTCTTTACAAAGGGTACTGGGCTCTCTCTCTCTCTGTGTGAAACTTTCTCTCCTGCACTTGGTCTGTAGGAGTAGGATGTCTCTAACTAAATCTCTTCCATTTGCTGTTCGTGCCATGTCTGGTGTGTAGGAGTCGAGTGTGTAACTCTTTCTCCCGTTGTGTAGGAGCAGATCCCAGAGGGGCTGTCCTCTCTGGGGGCTATGATCCTGGAGCCCAAAGAGCCCCCGGTGGAGCATCCATTGCCTGCAGACGATGACCTGGACACACCCACCTCCAACACCTCCGTGGTCACCTCGACCAATGGCAGTTCCACTACAGAGACACAATACTCAGAGACAGAGGTCTTTATCACCTACAGTACCAGTCAAAAGTTTGGACACATCTACTCATTCAAGGCTTTTTCTTTATTTTTACTATTTTCTACATTGTAGAATAATAGTGAAGACATCAAAACTATGAAATAACACATATGGAATCATGTAGTAACCAAAAAGGTGTTAAACAAATCAAACTAGATTTTAGATTTTAGATTCTTCAAAGTAGCCCTTCCTTTGCCTCGATGACAGCTTTGCACACTCTTGGCATTCTCTCAACCAGCTTCACCTGGAATGCTTTTCCAACAGTCTTGAAGGAGTTCCCACATATGCTGAGCACTTGTTGGCTGCTTTTCCTTCACTCTGCGGTCCAACTCATCCCAAACCATCTCAATTGGGTTGAGGTCGGGTGATTGTGGAGGCCAGGTCATCTGATGCAGCGCTACATCACTCTCCTTGGTCAAATAGCCCTTACACAGCCTGGAGGTGTGTTTTGGATCATTGCCCTGTTGAAAAACTAATGATACTCCCACTAAGCGCAAACCAGATGGGATGGCATATCGCTGCAGAATGCTGTGGTAGCCATGCTGGTTAAATGTGCCTTGAATTCTAAATAAATCACCAACAGTGTCACCAGCAAAGCATCCCCACACCATCACACCTCCTCCTCCATGATTCACGGTGGGAACTACACATGCGGAGATCATCTGTTCACCCACACCGCGTCTCACAAAGACACGCGGTTGGAACCAAAAATCTCAAATTTGGACTCCAGACCAAAGGACACATTTCCACCGGCCTAATGTCCATTGCTCGTGTTTCTTGGCCCAAGCAGGTCTCTTCTTCTTATTGGTGTCCTTTAGTAGTGGTTTCTTTGCAGCAATTCGACCATGAAGGCCTGATTCACACAGTTGATGTTGAGATGTGTCTGTGACTTGAACTCTGTGAAGCATTTATTTGGGCTGCAATTTCTGAGGCTGGTAACTCTAATGAACTTATCCTCTGCAGCAGAGGTAACTCTGGGCCTTCCATTCCTGTGGCGATCTTCATGAGAGCCAGTTTCATCATGGCGCTTGATGGTTTTTACGACTGCACTTGAAGAAACTTTAAAAGTTATTGAAATTGTCCATATTGACTGACCTTCATGTCTTAAAGTAATGATGGACTGACGTTTCTCTTTGCTTATTTGAGCTGTTCTTGCCATAATATGGACCTGGTCTTTTGCCAAATAGGGCTATCTTCTGTATAACCGCCCCCCACACACACACACACACCTTGTCACAACACAACTGATTGGCTCAAACTCATTAAGAAGGAAAGAAATTCCACAAATTAACTTTTAAGAAGGCACACCTGTTAATTGAAATTCATTCGAGGTGACTACCTCTTGAAGCTGGTTGAGAGAATGCCAAGAGTGTGCAAAGCTGTCATCAAGGCAAAGGGTGGCTATTTGAAGAATCTCAAATATAAAATATATTTTAATTTGTTTAACACTTTTTTGGTTATTATATGATTCCACATGTGTTATTTCATAGTTTTGATGTATTCACTATTATTCTACAATGTAAAAAATAGTAAAAATAAAGAAAAACCCTTGAATGAGTAGGTGTGTCCAAACTTTTGACTGGTAGTGTATATCCCCTATATAATGCTTACTTTAATTACTTCATTTAACAATCAGCCATCATATCCCCCAGGATTATACTGTAATCATTCTCTGCTCCTCTGTAATCTGAAGCATAGATTAATCCTTCATTATATCTCCTATAAAACTCCATATCTCTATTAAGATTTATCACAGAACAATGGGAAACAATAATAAACAATTTCCTGTTCATCTGCAGCCCTGGTGAACCATGATTTTAATCTGAGCCATCCGCCAGAGACAAATTGCAATTCAACAGAATGTACATTTAATGGCCTTAGCTTTTTGAACTGAAGGTTGGTGCGTGCCAGGCTGACAGAATTTTCCTTGGGGAAGTAGCAGCTAACAGAGAAGGCCCCAAAGCTTATCCTAGTGTAGAGAATGGCTAGTGGATACTATTTCCACATACATATTCTACATTACCAAAAGTATGTGGACACCTGCTTGTCGAACATCTCATTCCAAAATCATGGGCATTAATTTGGAGTTGGTCCCCCCTTTGCAGCTATAACAGCCTCCACTCTTCCGGGAAGGCTTTCCACTAGATGTTGGAACATTGCTGCGGGGACTTGCTTCCATTCAGCCACAAGAGCATTAGTGAGGTCGGGCACTGATGTTGGGCGATTAGGCCTGGCTCGCAGTAGGCATTGCAACTCATCCCAAAGGTGTTTGATGGGGTTGAGGTCAGGGCTCTGTGCAGGCCAGTGAATTTCTTCCACAACGATCTCGACAAACCATTTCTGTATGGACCTCGCTTTGTGCACGGGGGCATTGTCATGCTGAAACAGGAAAGGGCCTTCCAAAAACTGTTGCCACAAAGTTGGAAGCACAGAATCGTCTAGAATGTCATTGTATGCTGTAGCATTAAGATTTCCCTTCACTGGAACTAAGGGGCCTAGCCCGAACCATGAAAATCAGCCCCAGACCATTACTCCTCCTCCACCAAACTTTAGAGTTGGCACTATACATTCGGGCAGGTAGCGTTCCCCTGGTATCCGCCAAACCCAGATTCGTCCATCGGACTGCCAGATGGTGAAGCGTGATTCATCACTCCAGAGAACGCGTTTCCACTGCTCCAGAGTCCAATGGCGGCGAGCTTTACACCACTCCAGCCAATGCTTGGCATTGCACATGGTGATCTTAGGCTTGTGTGCGACAACTTGGCCATGGAAACCCATTTCACAAAGCTCCCGATGAACAGTTCTTGTGCTGACGTTGTTTCCAAAGGTAGTTTGGAACTCGGTGGTGAGTGTTGCAACCGAGGACAGACAATTTTTACACGCTACGTGCTTCTGCACTCGGCGGTCCCGTTCTGTGAGCTTGTGTGGCCTACCACTTCGCGGCTGAGCCGTTGTTGCTCCTAGACGTTTCCACATCACAATAACAGCACTTACAGTTGACCGGGCAGCTCTAGCAGGGCAGAAATTTAAAGAACTGACTTTTGTTGGAAAGGTGGCATCCTATGACGGTGCCACGTTGAAAGTCACTTAGCTCTTCAGTACAGGCCATTCTACTGCCAATGACTGTCTATGGAGATTGCATGGCTATCTGCTCGATTTTATACACCTGTCAGCAACGGGTGTGGTTGAAATAGCCAAATCCACTAATTTGAAGGGGTGTCCACATACTTATGGTAAAAATACTGATTACACGTTGACCTTGGTGGTTGTGGAAGTGTTAACTTCCACTTCTATCAAACAGACAATTTATATTTTCTGCAGTTTACTGTAGTACTCAAAACCACTAGCTGGACCTCAGCTTGTTTCATCACAGTTCAATCTAAACTCTAGGGAAATACATTTTTCACTGACAGTCAAACATAATTCTTTATTTACTGGCCCACCTCAAAGCCAGAAATCTTCTGGAATAAAAATGATGGATCATTCCTGTGAGACAAGAGCTGGTGTGCCATTTTGTGTTCTCTGCTGGTGGGAAAAGAGTTCGTTATGGTGGTAGTTTTGGTGGTAGATGTAGTAGTGGTATAGTAGTAGTGATAAACGTAATTTGAGGCACTGAGTGCAGCTTGAGAATGTCATCTCATGGGTTGGGCTGGAGATAGAGATGGGATTATTAGATCCCATAGTGAGACTGAGTCTGACTGATGTATTGAAATTAACTGTGTGACTTCCTCTCTACAGGACCCCAAGGCTGTTGAACTGGGGAGTGACCAGGCAGACACTCCGGGCACTCCAGACACCCCCGGCCCCCAGCTTCCCCCAGCCCCGCAGCCTCCCCCGGTTCTCCAGATTCCCTTGGTTCCAGACAACCCATCTCTGAAGCCCAGTCCTCTAACTAACGGCCAACACTCCTCTGAGTCCCTCACAACCCCTATCACAACCATTGTTACCACCAACACTCTCCCTCCTCCCTACAACAACACCAACAGTGAGCCCCAGACAGAGAAGCCTGAGGGGCAGAACAGCACCTACACCCTCCCTGACCCTCCCTTTCCTGGCCTGGGGGGTGGCATGTGTGCTGGGTATGGCAGCCTGTCTCGAGGTGGTGTCCACCAGAGCTCCCTCCACACCTACTGGCCCTCCAGGAACTACCAGCCCCAGCCTGGGGGTCACTACACCCTGCCCCTGCTCAGGGACATCTACGGCCAGGTGGGCCTGACCAACCAAACCGAGAGGGAAGGACCAGGGGACGCCACCCTGGGTGGAATCCACCAGCTCAGACCCATCACTACCATGGAGCTCCTGAGGGAACCTTCAAGAACCAGGTTAGGATATGAGCTAGCTAGTTAGGAACATGCATGACAGCAGAACTCCCTAGCAGCAGATCCAAGCTAGTAAGACTGGTGAGTTATTTAAACTCAGAGGATGGACAGTAGTAAAAGGACATTTCATTTTTGCCACACACATATTAATACCCTCTCTGTAAATGAGTTTACCCTTAACAAAAGCTAATGCTTTCTTCAAGACAGGGCATTGATTTTCGCTGTGTGTAGGTAGTCATTTGAAAAATGAGGGCACATTCTGTGTAATGTTTGCTACTGACAAATAGAAGAGGAGTCATATACTCTCTCATTATCTACATAAATGTTGTTTTAAGTGAAGAGATAACTCTTCATCATACATACTGACCCTCAAACTCTGATTAAATTGCTTGTATGTAGTTTATGAACACATTTCCAAAAGAGGAGACTAGAGAATCATGCTATGCAACTCAACACAATATTTCAGCTCAGTATGGATTAGAACCTGTCAATGTCCATATTGCATTCTATAGCAGTGAGCCCCAGTAGGAGCTGTTAGCTGCAGTAGTCCCTGTGGTGTCAGCATGGTGAGGAGGGCGAGACAGATGACCAGCAGTTTAGGAGCATGTGGTATCAATCAGGGGAGGCTGCCTGCCACCAGTCGATAAATAAGGAGGTTTCACCTGTATTACTGACTGACAGCAGCACTTTCCTCAGCTCATAAGCTGTGAATGAGCTGTTTACAGAGGATACTGGACACTATCTCTCCTCCCTCTACCTCTCCCTCTCTTTCCCTATCTTTTGCTCTCTCTCTTTCTCTTCATCTATCAGGAACTCAGGCTGTGAAGGTAAAATATCTGTTTGCACAACTGTTCAGAGAAAATACCAGAGCAAATAACAGTGATTGTACAACAAATAAAATCTAATTGTTTTCTGTGCTTTCTGTCTGTCTCTACATGTAGGCCTATCTCTTTCCCTTGTCTCAGCCCCCCCTCCTCACTTAACCCCTCCTTCCCTTTCTATTTTTCCAGAGGTGGATACGAGGAGGCTCTCATGTCCCAGATGGATGGGGACCCCATCTCCTTCTTCCAGGCCATGTCCAGGGCCCAGATGCTACAGTTCCCCCACAAGCGCAGCAGCATGGTCAGCCTGGACAGCATCCGTAAGGACCCCCGCTGGAGGGACCCCAACCTGAGTGAGGTCATCACCATGCTCAGCCACCCCATGGACCCGGTCAAGTCCAACGCCGCCGCCTACTTGCAGCACCTGTGTTACGAGAACGACCACATAAAGCAGGACGTCAGGCAGCTGAAGGGGGTTCCAGTACTGGTGGGCCTCCTGGACCACCCTAAAGCCGAGGTCCACCGCAAGGCCTGTGGAGCCCTGAGGAACATCTCCTACGGGAAAGACCACCACAACAAGGTGGCCATCAAGAACTGTGAAGGCATCCCGGCCCTGGTCAGACTGCTGAGGAAGTCCAGTAACATGGAGGTCAGAGAGTTGGTCACAGGTACAGTGAGCCTATGACAGAAGTCCTATACAAACATCTCTGTGATGGTTATGAGACTCCCTGATTATTACCCAACCACCTCACTTTACTAACAGTAACTTACATATTATTTTGCATATAGGAACCCTGTGGAATCTGTCCTCCCATGAGCCTCTGAAGATGATGGTCATCAATCATGGGCTCCAGACGCTGACTGATGAGGTCATCATCCCCCACTCTGGCTGGAGGAGAGACCTCACTGAGCACTCCAGACCCCAGGAGACAGAGTGGACTACTGTGTTCAAGAACACCTCAGGGTGTCTCAGGTACAATATGGCAGCTACATAGATGACAAGGTCATGGAACCTTACACAAGAGTAATTGAGGGTTTATTGCTCCATTAATTGGAAGTTCCTAAATTGGACGTAATGGTAAATTAGTTACTGACAGCTTGCTAATAGTGACGCTATGCTAACTTCATCCGCTCCACTAATAGACCTGTTTTGTCCCAGGAATGTGAGCTCAGATGGGGCAGAGGCTCGCCAGAGGCTGAGGGAGTGTGAGGGGCTGGTGGACGCTCTCCTCCATGCCCTACAGTCAGCTGTCGGCAACAAGGAGACAGACAATAAGGTGACCGCAGACATTGTTGAGCACATATAAATTCCAACTAAAACACTATGGCTGGAGTGCAAATCAGTACATTAACCAAAAGTATTCTGGACCACATATGATAATCAGATCCTCCCTATATTCTATGCATCTGCTGTCTTTGATGATTATCTTTGTGTTGTTTATGCTCCTCTCTCTCAGTCAGTAGAGAACTGTGTCTGCATCCTGAGAAACCTCTCCTACCACGTCCACAAAGAGGTGCCAGGGGCGGAGCGATTTCAGGAACCCGTGGCCAATCAGGTGCCACGATCAGGATCAGGAGGGAAGAAGAAGAACGAGGCAGACTGTTTTGGAGGGAAAAAGCCCAAGGGTCAGTTACAGTTTTTTTCAATCACTTTGGCAAGTTTTTCAGATGTAAGTGGTATATTTAAAAACTCTGAGTACAAAACTCTTAACTGATAACACTTAATGCCCCCTATCTTATGTTCAGAACCTTTGATTGTGCATTCATTAGGGTTTAGTCATTCATGCAAAATCTAAGTTTTCTGTGAAATACCATGAGCACATTTTGTTAAATCACCAATACATCAGATAATGACAGGCTCACCAGTCAGTCATTTTAACTACCTTTTAATCCAATAGCAGAAAATACAAGATACACATTTCAAAACTGTGCTTTTTGAAGTGCTAAATAGAAAGAATAGTACATGGTAAATACTATTGACTATATAAATTGACATGTATATTTTCTTTTTATATATAATATGTACCCAATGGCAGGTTGTGAGCATGTTGAGAAATATGTCAGTCTTATAGTTTCATTATCCTTATACAGTACATATGCAGGACAAATCATCAGAAATATGGGTATTGTAAAGCAGTTGGCTACTGTAAAAACGTACCATGGTGTTGTATGCAATTTCTGCAACATTGTACAAGATCAGTGGTGATTTTAGCATGTAAATCTTGGTGGGGCAAACTCCCAAAACATTTTTGGGGATGCAAAAATACAATACAACTCAACACTAAACAACACATTAATTGCACTATAACGGTGACAAACTTTGCCCACAAACTGTTAGGAACTACGTAAAGCTGTCCCACCAGCAGAGCTTTCTTTTCAGCACCATGAATCCTTACCACCGCTATACCTGGCTATCAGCAGAGCCTTGTCTGGCACCGAAACAGTTAATTCAGCCTCATTTACTGCCTTTTTTAAAAACATAGCTGATATAGCTGACTTTCTTAAACAAATGTGGTTTCTACTGACAATTGAGATGTACAAACTACGGCATAAGGGAATGATGAGGTGTGGTCCTCTGTAGCTCAGCTGGTAGAGCACGGCGCTTGTAACGCCAGGGTAGTGGGTTCGATCCCCGGGACCACCCATACACAAAAAATGTATGCATACATGACTGTAAGTCGCTTTGGATAAAAGCGTCTGCTAAATGGCATATTATTATGAGCGGATAAGAGGGAATCCGTAATTTCGATTAAGTCATTAATGAGCGAGCTAAGTCGGCTGTAGCCAATATAACTATTTGTTCAGCGCTTTTGAAATGTACAGCGACAGAATTCATAACATGGGCCGTTCTTACAGTATTCTCCCTGTACACCAAGTCAGAACCGTAGGATAAATAAAGGGGTATATAAGCAGACAACGAAAGGTCTTACAATGTTCGATGATGACATTTCTCTAAAACAGGCTATAGGCTACTGTGGCTAGCGAAAGTATTCACCCCCCTTGGAATTTTTCCTATTTTGTTGCCTTACAACCTGGAATTAAAATGGATTTTTGGGGGGTTTGTATCATCTGATTTACACAACATGCCTACCACTTTGAAGATGCAAAATATTTTGGGGGGTGAAACTAACAAGAAATAAGACAAAATAACAGAAAACTTGAGCGTGCATAACTATTCACCCCCCCCCCCAAAGTCAATACTTTGTAGAGACACCTTTTGCAGCAATTACAGCTGCAAGTCTCTTGGGGTATGTCTCTATAAGCTTGGCACATCTAGCCACTGGGACTTTTGCCCATTCTTCAAGGCAAAACTGCTCCAGCTCCTTCAAGTTGGATGGGTTCTGCTGGTGTACAGCAATCTTTAAGTCATACCACAGATTCTCAATTGGATTGAGGTCTGGGCTTTGACTAGGCCATTCCAAGACATTTAAATGTTTCCCCTTAAACCACTCAAGTGTTGCTTTAGCAGTATACTTAGGGTCATTGTCCTGCTGGAAGGTGAACCTTCGTCCCAGTCTCAAATCTCAAGAATTTCCCTGTATTTAGCGCCATCCATCATTCCTTCAATTCTGACCAGTTTCCCAGTCCGTGCCGATGAAAAACATCCCCACAGCATGATGCTGCCACCACCATGCTTCACTGTGGGGATGGTGTTCTCGGGGTGATGAGAGGTGTTGGGTTTGCGCCAGACATAGCGTTTTCCTTGATGGCCAAAAAGCTAAATTTTAGTCTCATCTGACCAGAGTACCTTCTTCCATATTTTTGGGGAGTCTCCCACATGGCTTTTGGCAAACACCAAACGTGTTTGCTTATTTTGTTCTTTAAGCAATGGCTTTTTTCGGGCCTTTCTTCCGTAAAGCCCAGCTCTGTGGAGTGTACGGCTTAAAGTGGTCCTATGGACAGATACTCCAATCTCTGCTGTGGAGCTTTGCAGCTCCTTCAGGGTTATCTTTGGTCTCTTTGTTGCCTCTCTGATTAATGCCCTCCTTGCCTGGTCCATGAGTTCTGGTGGGCGGCCCTCTCTTGGCAGGTTTGTTGTGGTGCCATATTCTTTCCATTTTTTAATAATGGATTTAATGGTGCTCCGTGGGATGTTGAAAGTTTCGGATATTTTTTTATAACCCAAACCTGATCTGTACTTCTCCACAACTTTGTCCCTGACCTGTTAGGAGAGCTTCTTGGTCTTCATGGTGCCGCTTGCTTGGTGGTGCCCCTTGCTTAGTGGTGTTGCAGACTCTGGGGCCTTTCAGAACAGGTGTATATATACTGAGATCATGTGACAGATCATGTGACACTTAGATTGCACACAGGTGGACTTTATTTAACTAATTATGTGACTTCTGAAGGTAATTGGTTGCACCAGATCTTATTTAGGGGCTTCATAGCAAAGGGGGTGAATACATATGCAAGCACCACTTTTCCGTTATTTATTTTTTAGACTTTTCTGAAACAAGTTATTTTTTTCATTTCACCAATTTGGACTATTTTATGTACAGTTGAAGTCGGGAGTGTACGTACACCTTAGCCAAATACATTTAAACTCAGTTTTTCACAATTCCTGACATTTAATCCTAGTAAAAATTCCCTGTCTTAGGTCAGTTAGGATCACCACTTTATTTTAAGGATGTGAAATGTCAGAATAATAGTAGAGAGAATGATTTATTTAAGCTTTTATTTATTTCATCACATTCCCAGTGGGTCAGAAGTTTACATACGCTCAATTAGTATTTGGTAGCATTGCCTTTAAATTGTTTAACTTGGGTCAAACATTTCGGGTAGCCTTCCATAAGCTTCCCACAATAAGTTGGGTGAATCTTGGCCCATTCCTCCTGACAGAGCTGGTGTAACTGAGTCAGGTTTGTAGGCCTCCTTGCTCACACACACTTTTTGAGTTCTGCCCACACATTTTCAATAGGATTGAGGTCAGGGCATTGTGATGGCCACTCCAATACCTTGACTTTGTTGTCCTTAAGCCATTTTGCCACAACTTTGGAAGTATGCTTGGGGTCATTGTCCATTTGGAAGACCCATTTGCGACCAAGCTTTAACTTCCTGACTGATGTCTTGAGATGTTGCTTCAATATATCCACATAATTTTCCTTCCTCATGATGCCATCTATTTTGTAAAGTGCACCAGTCCCTCCTGCAGCAAAGCACCCCCACAGCATGATGCTGCCACCCCTGTGCTTCACGGTTGGGATGGTGTTCTTTGGCTTGCAAGGTACCCCCTTTTTCCTCCAAACATAACGATGGTCATTATGGCCAAACAGCTCTATTTTTGTTTAATCAGACCAGAGGACTTTTCTCCAAAAAGTACGATCTTTGTCCCCATATGCAGTTGCAAACCGTAATCTGGCTTTTTTATGGCGGTTTTGGAGCAGTGCCTTCTTCCTTGCTGAGCGGCCTTTCAGGTTATGTCGATATAGGACTCTTTACTGTGGATATAGATACTTTTGTACCTGTTTCCTCCAGCATCTTCACAAGGTCCTTTGCTGTTGTTCTGGGATTGATTTGCACTTTTCGCACCAAAGTATGTTCATCTCTAGGAGACAGAACGCGTCTCCTTCCTGAGCGGTATGACGGCTGCGTGGTCCCATGGTGTTTATACTTGCACACTATTGTTTGTACAGATGAACGTGGTACCTGCAGGCGTTTGGGAATTGCTCCCAAGGATGAACCAGACTTGTGGAGGTCTACAATTTTTTTTCTGAGGTCTTGGCTGATTTCTTTTGATTTTCCCATGATGTCAAGCAAAGATTCACTGTGAGTTTGAAGGTAGGCCTTGAAATACATCCACAGGCACACCTCCAATTTACTTAAATGATGTCAATTAGCCTATCAGAAGCTTCTAAAGCCATGACATCATTTTCTGGAATTTTCCAAGATGTTTAAAGGCACAGTCAACTTAGTGTATGTAAACGTCTGACCCACTGGAATTATGATACAGTGAATTATAAGTGAAATAATCTGTCTGTAAACAATTGTTGGAAAAATTACTTGTGTCATGCACAAAGTAGATGTCCTAACCGACTTGCCAAAACTATAGTTTGTTAACAATACATTTGTGGAGTGGTTGAAAAATGAGTTTTAATGACTCCAACCTAAGTGTATGTAAACTCCCGACTTCAACTGTATGTCCATTACTATGTCCAAGCTCTGCCCTACCTGCCCTGAATGACAGGTCGCCACTGTACAAGATCACCTTTCTATGTGACTTGTCAACTGATACAGTATTGACTGTCTCTCTGCTTACAGTGTATCAATGAAATCAGATAATGAGTGGAATACAGTATATTGTTATACATACAACCCAGGTATTTCAGCAGTGCATTGTACACTACACTATAATTCCAAATGGTAGCACATAGTGACTTTTTCCACTTTGTCCTATTGAAGCACACTAGCTGATTGAGAATGATGCTGTAGTAATTAAGGCCACATCCAGTTCATTGTATTGTTAACAAATTACAAGAAAATCATATAAAAAGTAAAGTGAATATTACATTTTGAAAAGCAGATAGATTAAATATGTTTCCAAATTAAAAGAGTGATTTGGTGCAGCGAACAAGTGCCTTTGTGAATTTGTTTGTTGTACTCGGTCAATTGAAAATGTGCTTAGAGTTTCTAAAAACGAGCCATTTTGATGATCTGTTAAGATTTTTGTGCTTAGAGTTGTGAAAATGTACCACATAGGTACCAAAATTGCACTAAAGTGATTGAAAATAAACTGTAAATTGGACCTCATGATGGCACTTTATGAATGGTTGTCATTGCAGTTTGGCAAGAATTGGGTGATTTCTGGTGTGTAGTTTGTATTGCTGTAATGTTATATTTGACAATGTCTTCCTTATTTGTCTTTTGTTTTGTTTCCTTCCATCAACATGCACAAGAGGAGTGGTTCAATCAAAGTAAGTCTGTCTAAATAAATGCATTATATTTGATAATCAAAAAATTAAGTTTCATTCCAAAACGCTATAATATATACATTTTCAGAAATGTTGGTAAAACAGCTTTTATTGTTTAAATAAATTATGAAAAAGATTGGTGTGTTTTCTCACTATCTAATCATGGCATGGGGTTGTTCAATGAGAGACATGTATTTGTTTAAAATCTATTACTTGATGGTTTCATATCAGAGAGACAAATAATCCTGTTTTTTGCAAAATGCTATTTATCCGCCTCACTCTCAGAGCAATAAGTTGTATTGCTAGGTTTTACACAGTTAAATGTAATGAATAACACAATTTTGTATAAATAAATGTACAAATTATACATTTATGACATCAATATAAAAAAAAAAATCACAAAATAATTCAATACAGTAATATGATGCTCTTGTCCACTGACTCTTTAGTCCAGGGGTTCCCAAACTTTTTCACCAGGCCCCTTCCAGCATTGGGGAACATCCCTCGCCCCCCCTGCGCGCCACGTCTATTTCTCTGGGCACAAGCACTGTTCATGACACAAACTGTTCACACCCCTCTTGTTGGCGGAGAGAAAATGGAGCAGGTCTGAAGCTAATTTCCTGCAATTTTACACTTTGTCATGGGGTGCAGTGGACATTTTGCAGTTTTAAGCTAATGTTCTTGCAATTCTATGCATTTTGCCATTTCTAATGTGTATTCATGTGATATTTGAGTGACACAAAAATTATGACAGCTTTCAGGGGGGCGCGGGATTTAATATAATCGTCCGGATTAGTGTCCCACCACTTGAAAGCAGCAGCTCTAGCCTTTAGCTCAGTGCAAATGTTGCCTGTAATCCATGGCTTCTGGTTGGGATATGTACGTACGGTCACTGTGGGGATGACGTCGTCGATGCACTTATTAATGAAGCTGGTGACAGATGTGGGAAACTCTAAAATCGATTAATTACAAATCTGAGAACAGCAATATTTTACACACACATGAAGGTACCCATAAGCAATAATTTCTGATGAAAAAACACAAATGTGAAAAATCGGTGCATATAGCGTTTTGGAAATAAACTTTTCAAATACATAATAATGTTCTGTCAACTATGAGACACCAGGACCTCTTCTCTGTGGTTGCTTGCCCTGTTGTCTGTCTCGAGTCTTGAGCTTCAATGGAAGACCTTGGTATTTCTGACTCATTATCATCATTGTCATGTCTTTATACACTTCCCATGTTTTGATATTTCCTATTTATTGTGTTTGTCATACCTTGACATTTCCATTGCGCCTTGCGCTAACCATGGTGTGCGTGTGTATGTGTGTGTGTGTGTGTGTGTGTGTGTGTGTGTGTGTGTGTGTGTGTGTGTGTGTGTGTGTGTGTGTGTGTGTTTTGTCTAGGCTGGAGAAATGGACCAACTGACAAAAAATATGGAACACTGGATTTACCCAAACGCACACAACCAACGAAAGGTAAAGTTTGGAGCATCTTTAGTGATCTGTGGATTGGTCAAGACATGCAATTTTGTAACTTAATGAAGCATTCCAAAGACTTACAGTGTGGAAAACCTTGACATGAGGCGTCTGTATTGTGCATGATGTAGAATAGTTCCGAATGTGTTATAATGTCAAGAAGTGACTGGATTGTATTGGAAACAATCAGACACAAAAGTAGACTGTCTGAATGCCTTGACAGAACGACATGGTGCATACAAACGCTGTATGTCAGTTACTGTATGAGTACAATACAATATGGAATAGCTTGATGTGGTTGCTGTGGTTGCAGTGCCTTCAGGACGTATTCATACCCTTTGACTTATCCAACATGTTGTTGTGTTACAGCCTGAATTCAAAATGGATTAAATTGTTGTTGTTGTTTCTCACCAATCTACACACAATACCCCATAATGACAAAGTGAAAACATGTTTTTTGAAATTTTTGCACATTTCTGAAAATGAAATACAGAAATATTTAATTTACATAAGTATTCACACCCCTGAGTCAATACATGTTAGACTCACCTTTCGCAACGATTACCAATGTGAGTCTTTCTGGGTAAGTCTCTAAGAGCTTTGCACACCTGGATTTAACAATATTTGCACATTATTCATTTTTAAATTCTTCAAGCTCTGTCAAGTTGGTTATTGATCATTGCTAAACAGCCATTTAAGTCTCTCCATAGATTTTCAAGCTGATTTTAAGTCAAAACTGTAACTACGCCACGCGGGAACATTCAATGTCATCTTGGTAAGCAACCCCAGTGTATATTTGGCCTTGTGTTTTAGATTATTGTCCTACTGAAAGGTGAATTTGTCTCCCAGTGTCTGTTGGAAAGCAGACTGAACCAGGTTTTGCTCTAGGATTTTGCCCGTGTTTAGCTCTATTCCATTTATTTTTATCCCCAAAACTTCCCTAGTCCTTGCCGATGACAAGCATACCCATAACATGAGGCAGCTACCACCATGCTTGAAAATATGAAGAGTGGTACTGTGATGTGTTGTGTTGGATTTACCCCAAACATAACGCTTTGTATTCAGGACATAAAGTTAATTTATTTGCCACATTCTTTGCAGTTTTACTTTAGTGTCTTATTGCAAACAGGATGCATTTTTATTCTGTACAGAATTCCTTCTTTTCACTCTGTCATTTGGGTTAGTATTGAGGAGTAACTACAATGTTGTTGATCCATCCTCAGTTTTCTCCTATCACAGTCACTAAACTCTGTAACTGTTTTAAAAGTCACCATTGGCCTCATGGTGAAACCCCAGAGTGGTTTCCTTCCTCTCCGGCAACTATGTTAGGAAGGACACCTGTATCTTTGTAGTGACTGTGTGTATTGATACACCCTCCAAAGTGTAATTAATAACTTTATGATGCGCAAAGGGATATTCAATGTCTGCTTTTTTTTACCCATCTACCAATAGGTGCCCTTCTTTGCGAGGCATTGGAAAACCTCCCTGGTCTTTGTGGTTGAATCTGTGTTTGAAATTCACAGATAATTGTATGTGTGGGGTACAGAGATGAGGTAGTTATTCAAAAATCATGTTAAACACTATTATTGCACACAGAGTGAGTCCATGCAACGTATTATGTGACTTGTTAAGCAAATTTTTACTTCTGAACTTATTTAGGCTTGCCATAACAAAGGGGTTGAATACTTTTTATTAATTTGTAAAAATGTTAAAAACAGAATTCCACATTGACATTGTAGGGTATTGTGTGTAAACCAGTGACACAAATCTCAATTTAATCAATTTAAAATTCAGGCTGTAACACAACAAAATGTGGAAAAAGTCAAGGGGTGTGAATACTTTCTGAAGGCACTATATATTGTGTGTCTGTGCTTTTGTGTTTGAGGTGGGGGCAGTGAGCGGAGTGAACAGCTATTGTAGGTTATATTCAGCGTTAAATGAAGGGATGATTTTGTGTCATGATGTGATTATAAGGCACTATAGCTTTACTTTGTGTATGAAATATAATGTGTGATTTAAGCAGGCATTGTGTGATATCCCAGACTGTTGAGAGGATTCTGTACTAGTCTTTGACATTCAGAAGATCCCACAGAA